ACACACACACACACACAAGCATACCAGCATCGCGTGAGGCATTCGGCCGGACTTGAAGCAGTGGAACTGAAGGAACACGCAATGTGGACTAGGTGACTAAATGTGTTCGATTTGTATGATGAATGCTGCTTGGAAGCGTGTGAGCGGCGCACCCCAAAACGGTGATAGCTGAACAGTACCGCCCAGCAAGTCGTTGAAGGACACCACAAATTGCCAAACCTGCACATGCACGAATCACAAATCTTGGCGTGCCGAGGTTGCCTCGTTGCGAAAAGGTCTACACCGGCCATGGACCATTCTTCCGAGCGACGCCCTCATTCCAGCGTTCCAGATCGAGCGATGCCGGGCGATAATCCTTAGTAACCAGAAGAAGTTGACAAGTGTGGCGGGTGAGCATCCGGAGCAGGCATGGTGAATCATGACACATGATATATAGCATTCAAATGACTGTCATGAGTTCAGCCAGGTGTCCAAATCCTGTGCATGGCGTAGGTTTACACAGCGCACGAGCACTCCTGCCTTCGACAGTACTGGAAAAAAGCGTGTCTAATTGTATATATACAGCATTTACTACAACATTCAATGGATGTCCTCAGAAAGCTGGCCTCAAAGCGTTGACCCAAGAAGGCACTTCGGCTCAAGCATGGTATGCAGCTGGATACCCACGCAGTTTGCACATTGCCATCGAACGCCTCGCGGCTGGCGCTTTAGAAGAGAGCAACAAAAACAGCCAACACCAAGGTTCACAGTGACACTTAGAGACCATTCTCTCATCAATTCTCATCTGCAGCTTTCTGGCATCAAAACGCCTTCGCCAACTCGCCAGCACGCCAAGGAGAGTCGCTGGATAAGAGCTCTATTGGAACGAGCGGCTGGGTGCACAAAACGTCACTGGCAAAGTACCTCACATGCAACGGGTTCCAATGGGATGACTCCGAGATGTTTTCCTTCGGTTTTACAGCAGGCTGGGCTAAGCGGTGAGAAGAGGTATATAAAGCTTGCATCACAGGAAGCTACCATGCTTGGGATGCTAGTAGACATCGTCTGGCTGAAACCTTTACGCCAGTCAATTCCTGTACGCCAGGTGTCAGTTCATGCACGGCCCAGGCAGCGCTGATCATGGCGGTGTTGATCAATCGCCACCTCAAGCTGAGTCCAACGCGTCAAGCCCAAGCAGCGCCTATACACATGCGCGGTTGCGCCGTTGTGATTTAACTTTTGCGCGGCTTTTTTGGACACGTCTTTCGTTGCAATGTTCGAAGTCTTTGCGGAAAATCACGCTCATAGGTTGCAGTCCCAACTAGGACGACTCGGAGGGTAAAGCCTTGGCGTTTCGATGGGCAACGAAGCACCAGAATATGCCACAGCCTGCCCCTCCGTGTCCCGGATTCCAAAGGACGAGGAGTGCTCAATTCCTCTCTATAAGCTACTGGGCATTTGCTGACGGTCCCATTCATCCCTAGGTCTATGTCAAGATCATGTCAAGGAGGAATGGCTAGAAACCAAACATGTGATTTCATTTGCTACCACAAGCCATTCACAGATCTTTTGATTGCATCAACCAGCTTCATTGCATGGCAATGTCAGCTTTTGCTGTAGGCTCATTCCTGCTGCATGGCAGCAAATTGAGCCAGGACCCAGCCGCAGAGCTCTCTTGAACAGGCTCCGAGTCCAAATGAATGATATCACAATGCATCAGTGCAGGAATAACCTTTTGGTATTACAAAACTGCATCTGAATTGCCATTGCAACATGTCCAGCAACTTTGCCACGCAAACCTACTTGCAAACTGCAAGGGTGGCTGCGCCTGCTTGGAGCCTCTATCAGTGAACATATTATGGTCCTTTTTGGACGCAACGCTTCCAGAACGGACGCGCAAATCATTCAGCAATTCTGTGCTACCAAATCAGTCCTTCAGTCTCAAAGTGCACCTCCGCGCAAGGCAACTGATGTATCGCCAACAGCTATCCCTCACCTATCTGACAGCTTAATCACTAATTAGTTCATTAATTGATTGGTTGATTGATTGTATAACAATGACGTCCTCAATGATGCTTCTGCAGCGGCTGGCCATGGAATGGAAAGAACGTTAACCTCGCACCTTGTTAGTTCAATCCCAACAAATCAAGGGGAAGGGAACACTAAAAAGCCACCACGACTACAGTATATAAGTAAAACTTGCTTGAACTACCAACTAACTACCACTGCCACTATCACACGACTACTACCGACTGCTGCTTACTGCTGCTGCTGCTGCTCCTCCTCCTCCTCCTACTACTACTACCACCACCAAACTACCAAACTACTGCTGCTACTACTACTGCTTCTACTACTGCTACTGCTAAACTATACACACTCCCTCAGTCTAATTAGAGGGCGACAGTTCACAATTTAAGATCCAACATTAGACAGCTTGGCCACAAGGTCCTCATGCAAAGGCTTTTCCTTCACCGCCGCCAACGCTTCGCTTCGCTTCGCATCGCCCGTCCGGTTCCGCACCTTCGGTTTCACACTCGTCCGTCCAACTTCTTCTCGATGGTGCGGAGCTTCTGATAGACCCCTGAGGTGTCTTCGTGTATCCTCTCCCCGGGTTCTCTAAACCCACCCCTTGGACACCCTTGGACCATGAGAGGTTAAAACAGGATCTCTTTTTTGTGGAATTCGTGCACGCCCTTGGGCACAACCTCCGATGGAGCGCTCCGATGACCAAGAGACCAAGAGTCAATGTGGTGTACACACTTGGTCATCACTCATCGCAGTCTTGAACTAGCCATGGCACGAGTAATGGAAAGGTTCTCCACTGCGCCGTGAGCTTTCATGAGGCCATCCCTGAAGCTGTCCTGGCAAGTCAAGTCGCAGAAAGAAAGAGGCTTGCAGCGCCTTGGGCAAAGTAACCGACGAAAAGATGGACGAGGTGCGGGGAACGAACACAAGCAGCAGCAATGAAACTAATTAAATTATAGTTACTAATTATATAATGTACTTGAGGCCAAGGGGGGGGCGAAAGCTAGCGCTCCAGAATGGGAAAGTGGAGGGCAGCGAGGTAGGAAAAAACACGGCGCTCTTTTTGGAGGCAGGGGTGAAGAGTCCTTTATATGTGGCTCTTTGCCCGGATCCTCCTGCGAGAGAAGAGAGAGAGAAGAGAGACGGAAAGACGAGAGACAGAGAGGAGAGAGAGAGAGAGGAGAGAGAGATGAGAGAGAGATGAGAGAGATGAGAAAGAGATGAGAGAGATGAGAGAGATGAGAGAGATGAGAGAGATGAGAGAGATGAGAGAGA